ATTTTTATATAAAAATATCATAATGATTAGGATCCGTTAATCCATCAGATCTCTTTGCTGGGTTATAAAAGAAATTTCGGGAAAATTTTAAGCTAGTACTCGAAATATTATCTATTTCCTTCTTGGTTTGTTTTTATTGACATCTAGAACTGATTGTTTAAGTTAATTAAACGTTTACATTCCAAGATTACTTAAACATGATTAAGTATAATTACTATGAATTACAGTGTCAGGATAATTACAAAAAGTAGGCCTAAAAATGCGTATGTTGTATTTGTGTGGAAGTTCATGTTTACCAAACAATAGATGAGTAGTATAAAACGGTATCGTTTTTATCTAATTGTAAGCACAGCAGTATGTCTGCGGAGTTACAACGCTAGACACCGGGTTTCGATACCCGTGGTGGGCAGAGTACAGATAGCCCATTGTGTTTAGCTACAAACAAATCTAATAGTAGATTTCTAAACCCAAAAATGATATTCTGCCGTTTGTTATTAAAACATTACAAACAGACTGTTGACCGGTTTTTATTTCTTGGAGATAAGGAAATTATGTGTGTTAGCTTACAATCTTTGAGTTATAGTAATTATTATATTTCGTTACCATGTGTCTACATCCATAGATTTCGTTACCATGTGTCTACATCCATAGATTTCGTTACCATGTGTTTACATCCATAGATTTCGTTACCATGTGTCTACATCCATAGATTTCGTTACCATGTGTCTATATCCATAGACTTCATTGCCATGTGTCTGTATCTATATGTTTCGTTACTGTTTCTTTATTTATAGATTTCGTTACCATGTTTCTGTATCCATAGATTTCGTTACCATGTGTCTACATCCATAGATTTCGTTACCATGTGTCTATATCCATAGATTTCGTTACCATGTTTCTGTATCCATAGATTTCGTTACCATATTTCTGTATCTATAGATTTCGTTACCATGTTTCTGTATCCATAGTAGACACATGGTAACGAAATTATCCATAGATTTCGTTACCATGTTTCTGTATCCATGTATTTCGTTACCATGTGTCTATATCCATAGATTTCGTTACCATGTTTGTGTATCCATATATTTCGTTACCATGTGTCTATATCCATAGATTTCGTTACCATGTGTCTATATCCATGTATTTCGTTACCATGTGTCTATATCCATGTATTTCGTTACCATGTTTCTGTATTCATAGATTTCCGAGAGATCGAGAAACGGATCCCAATCATTTCTATTTTACAGACTTTGAAAGACATAATAGTGAAATTGCTGCTTTCCATGTTGACAGGTAAGTCCCTAGATTCATGGAAACATTTGTACCAATTGACAGGTAAGTCCCTAGATTCTTGGTACAAATGTTTCCATGTTGACAGGTAAGTCCCTAGATTCTTGGTACAAATGTTTCCATGTTGACAGGTAAGTCCTAGATTCTTATTACAAATGTTTCCATGTTGACAGGTAAGTCCCTAGATTCTTATTACAAATGTTTCCATGTTGACAGGTAAGTCACTAGATTCTTGTTACAAATGTTTCCATGTTGACAAGTAAGTCACTAGATTCTAGTTACAAATGTTTCCATGTTGACAGGTAATCCCTAGATTCTTGTTACAAATGTTTCCATGTTGACAGGTAAGTCCCTAGATTCTTGTTACAAATTTTTCCATGTTGACAGGTAAGTCCTTAGATTCTTATTACAAATGTTTCCATGTTGACAGGTAAGTCCCTAGATTCTTGGTACAAATGTTTCCATGTTGACAGGTAAGTCCCTAGATTCTTGGTACAAATGTTTCCATGTTGACAGGTAAGTCCCTAGATTCTTATTACAAATGTTTCCATAATTTTCATTTCATTC